CTTGTTTTGAACTAATTTCAGCTTTTCTTTCAAATATTAGTTCTTAATTCTTCAATATCCACAGAGTATACTTACCATAGTTTGCCTCAGGAGCTCAGAATATTCCCATGCATTCTCCTAAAAATATCACTATAAGGTTTAATGGGACTTCCCTTTTCATTCCATCTGAAGTTTACAAAGCCTCAGGTTCATGCATCAAAGATAGGGATAAATGATAATAAAAATAAATTAACTTTTGTTGAACACTACTGTGTACCTGACAGTGTGATCAAGCATTTGCATGCATTATCTCACTGGATCTGCATAAAATATAAAACAGGAACTATTATTTACAGGGAAAGTGGGTGAGGTCTAGGAAGGGTAAGTCACTTGCTTAAGAACATATAGATAATAAATACTGAGTGGAAATTTAAGCCCAGGTTTGTAGAACTCAGAAACTACTAATTTTTTTTTAGAGATGGAGTCTCACTCTGTCACCCAGGCTGGAGTGCAATGGCATGCTCTTGGCTCACTACAACCTCCGCCTCCCGGTTTCAAGCGATTCTCCTGCTTCAGCCTCCTGAGCAGCTGGGATTACAGGCATGTACCACCACACCTGGCTAATTTTTGTATTTTTAGTAGAGACAGGGCTTCTGCATGTTGTAAGACTGGTCTCGAACTCCTGACCTTATGATCTGCCTGCCTCGGCCTCCCAAAGTGCTGAGATTACGGGTGTGAGCCACCGCGCCTGGCCCAGAAACAACTTTTAACTGAGAATGTGTATACTTAAAAATGTAAGGCTAGCTAAATGTTTATAACGTGTTTTGTTTCTTGAAAGATTTTCACAAGCATTGCTTTAAGTCATTATTTATATTCATTCAAACTGTAAATAGAGGTATAGAACCATAGACAAACTTAGAAATTATAGACTTTATAAAAAATTGCTGCTTTTCTCATAGTTTTGTTTTCTTTCTCTAAATAATTATCTGCTGCACAAAAATAGATATGGAAAGCGGTTACTTGGTTATTCATGCTAAAAATCCATAACAGAATTTTTAATGAGAAACACATATATTGAAATTATTAAATATCACAAATCCTGAGCTTTAACTGCAGCATAATTCTGAAACAGGAAGGAGCATTCCTGAGACAGTACATTCAGCCACAACATCCTCAGCTTTTCTTATCTGGTGGCCTCCAGCTGAAGATATTTTTCACAAAGGAATGGACACATAATATTGATGCTAACTGGGTTGCTAATGAAGAAATTGAGAGGCACAGCTTAGTTTTGATCATGAGCCCATTTTGATTTCTCATAAGAGAAAAGAAAAATGAATGTTAGTGGCCATGAGTTTTGTACAGGGCATCTAAGCAGATAGTGATATTGAGGTTTCCCTTTGCCTTTCCTGGATGTTGCCTCTAGGCCAGACATTACGATTTAAAATGACATAACATGACCTCATGAATAATTTGAGGTCTAACTTCATGAACTCCAATTACAAAGTTACAGTGAGTTCCACAGAATGAAAGCCAGATGTAAGTAATTTACATTTTAGTCATGTATAAAAGGAAGAGATAAAAGGAGAAGTGCCATCTGGAAGATTAAAACCAACAGTAGCCACGTAATGGGCGGTTAGTGTCCACATAGGTCACCTGCCTCTTTAAAATGTTTGACACTTCCAGTGGCCAGCAGTTATTCTCTCTCTCCAAATTGTTTACTTACTAAAACACAAACTCTGAGAAAACAAGTTGTGTTGAGATGTTTAAAAGACTTGTTTACCAGTGTCTAGAAAAGAGTTTGGGTGCAATTAATTTTGTTTTATGTGGTACTTTTCTTAGTAAACAACAACTTTTATTTGCTTGCCTCAAGATACTTAATGTTTTACCCTACCTTGAAAGCATTTTAGATCTTAGAATCCTGAAGAAATAAAATATTGATTTGCTTCTGTGACACAAGTGACTAATTATGGCAGGTTCTTTATATGTAGAATGAGTGGTTTGTATTAATTGCTTATTAAATTCTATTCCAATTCTGAAATTCACACATGCTGTGAAGACACTGTACACATATGGAAAGAGGCATTATTCATGCTGCTTCTTCCGTCATTATCACATGACAGACTCTCTTGTGTCTTTTAAACTACAACAGGGAGAGACTGATACATTCAGCAGGCCAAAGCATGGACTGGTATAACTAAGTGGAAAGCAAATATGCAAAGTTCATCTTTGGTTAGTATGAGTTAGCAGCTTTCTCCTGCACTCTTATTTTCTTCAATTGAAATAGAATTTCTTTGTGGATATTTTTATATTGCTTCAACATTTAAAGACCCTGTACTATTTCCTTTTATTTCCTGAAGTGAGAAAAGAATTTAATCCAGGAATGAGATTGTGAGTGAAAATGTTTCTCAATACCCTGACATATTCTCTCTTATGCAGTTTTGATCATCTGTAAAGAAAGCGTTCAAGAACACAGTATGATACACATCGAAGGGCATGGACAGGAACAGCTCATCTAACCCAGTGAGGATTGTCTTCCAATTCTTTAGATGGCCATTTTAAAAGTTATTTCTAAAGGAAATATCTTATTTTGTATCTTCCAGTTACTTATGAAAAACTTTTGAAGTTTACATTTGGCTCTTAAGCCTCAACTTAGGACAAATTTTGAAAGTGTGATATGGAAAGCCATTCTATCATGAGCCCATGGGAGTGAAATACAGTGATCTCCTTCAACTTTAAGATGGAAAAATGTCCCCGAATCCTTAGGAGAAAAGGGCATAGCCACAAAATGTAAAGACCCTCCCCCTCGCCAGTTTAGCTCTTACGTGGATCAATTGCTCTGAAAGTTTATGTAGAAGCCTACAGACATCACAAAGAAAGTGTTTGAAAGAGTAAGTTGACCAAGTTTGAATATGTAAAAGAAAATGAATAAATATAATCTAAATATGATGCCAAAGGAACACAATGGAATAATCTCCAACAGATTGTATTATGCTCAAGGAAAGAGCATATTCAAATAATTATTCCTATTTTAGGTTTTGGGGGAAAATGTCTGAATTTTTAAGAAGCAAAATAATGACCAAAAGCTAATTAACAGGGCAAGAAAGCAATCAAAAAGTGAGATGGTAGAATTTGATTGTTGGAGCACTATCAATAGGTATTTTTTAAGAACAGATGTGCAATTATTATTATAGGATAAGGCATCAGCAATCATTTTGACAAAGGAGAAATGGGCAGGAAATATTTCTCTTATATCTGGATGCAGACAAATTTTCTTTCCTGATAATTTACTTCCAATCTTGTGGGAGAGTACAGTGTTTTACAAGGACTTGTATAAAGAATTGGACCTAGTCTCAGAACTGTGATCATGTGATATATTGAATATATTTACTTCTTAATTAAATTTTCTCATTTCAAACTGTTAATATAGAGACAGTTTATCGTTAACAAGGCAAAAGACCTATAGAAGATAATGCATACATGCTTATTAGCACTATTTACAGTCCTTGAGATGATATAACAGATATTTAAGAAAAAAGTGTTGGTCTACATTGGCAAAACTAAAATATCTATTAGGCACTTTTTGTAAGGAGAACAAAAGGTTTTTCCAATTTCATCTTTCTCCTTCCTTTCTTTCTTCCCTCCTTTCTTCTTTGTTTCCTTCATAGCTTAAATGCTTATAACTTTCTTTTAAAGTAATTCAACGGTTTTTTTTACTAAAAAGGATTTCTCACACTTCATTTTTCACACTCTTAAGCTTATTTTTATTGTACTTTTATTGTTACAGTGATCAAGTACTTCTTTAAAATAGTTGAAATGCTTTGCTAAATTAATTTAGAACTCCTCTTACTTAAAATAAATGCCCTTTATATTGAGAACTGTTTTAACATCAGATAACCTTGAGGTCAGGTCATTTCCATGACATATTATACTCATGTTTATGCTAAAGGTTGAAATAAAGCCAAAATCATGCTAGCACATTGAAAACATCCTGTTAGGCATAACATTTAAAGCATATACAAGGTTTTGTTGTTTACTTTCCAAGTAATGCTTAGTATGGTTCAGGTGTATTAACTTGGATTATGTTTCTGTGTTCTGAACTCATTGTCCATGAATGTTTGAACATAAAGAGATTCCTTTCCTTAGAATGATAAACTTCAAAATCCTTTGCTAAATACAAGGAGGATACAGAGTCTGGTTGGCCTAAACATGAACAGATGTAAAATATCTCCCATGATTGTCTCCAAATCCCATATTCTGACCCTACTTACAGTGAAAAATAAATATATTTTCAGAAAATAAACAATATTGTGATGAAGTTATTGTGTCTTTAGTTTTCTGAGCTTTAAGTTATTGCTGCATTCAGCGATAGAAGATAAGTGATTTAAAATGCAACCACTATGTTAATTTTTTCCTGACTAGTAAAGGTATTAGGCAACTACAAATTCTTTATCTGTAAAATGAAAATACATACCCTACATTGGCTTCCTGATAGCACCGTTAAGATTAATTCATATTTCCAACTAATACTGAAAATTTGTGGTATAGTTGCATAGAAATAATAATGGGAATAAAAAATGTGTACTCTTCTTAGATGGTAAATGCTATTAATTTTGTTAAAAAGATTTAAATCCAGTAATAGTTGAGTCGTTAACATAATATACATTGTTGTTTCAGTTCTTAATAAAAAACAGAATGTACATCTCAAATCTTCACCAAGGCAGATAAGTAGATTTCTTCCACATTCTGAAACTTACTATGATTTTTTGTGTCTAAAATGAGATTCTTTATTCACTTAGTCCCAGGGAACATTACATAATTATTGTGCTATGCAAACGAAAAGCAAATAAACAAAACAAAATCACGTAATGAAGACCTTAATGGTATGTAAAACCCCTCCCCCCTCCAAAATACATGGCAGATGAAGGAAAGGAAGGCAGGAGGTATATAATTTTTTAAAAAGTAAACATAGTATGGTGGGCTTTTGTTTCGAGAAAATTCCCTTAATGCGTGACTTTTTGTACTTTTTCTCTTTTCCGCCTGCCAGCTGGAGCGATATGGCTCCTGCATGAGCTGCTTGTACTGAAGGCTGTTCAGCAAGAAATTCGTGTGAAATCGTAGCATGTGATGCTCCTGGTTGGAGCAGTTAATAACTGGTTAAGCGGCATTTCCCTAAATGGCTGTTTTCCTCGGCCCAGCCGTCTCTCCTCCATCCCATTGCTCCCCGGTCCTCAGCAATGCCCCAACTCCCTCCCGGAACCTCTCGCTCTGAGCCCCCCGCCAGCGCCGCAATCCCGCCACTGTATTGTGCTCCTCGGCACCGAGCGATCTGATCCGCCGAGCCAGAAAGACACCCGATGGGGGAGAGAACCAAAGTGGAAAAAAACCGACGTCCCTGCTCTCCAGAAGGGAGACCCCGGCGGCGCCGCGGTGCCCTGAGCCCTCCGCGGCCGCCCGGCGCGAGCTCCCGGGCGGGGCGCTGTCCAGCGCGCACAGAGTTAAAGGCATCATCGCAGCCATTAGAGGGAAAAGTTGCGGCGCCGCGAGCCCAGCGAAGTCCTCAGCCCGCCCCACTTGCCCACTCCCCACTTCCCGAGCCGGCTCCGTGTTTAGGGAGGGCAGTGATCACGCAAGCCGGAGCGGCGGGCTGACGTTGGACGAGCTGCCAGGTAGCTGGAAGCAGGCAGCCAGGCAGCCGAGACACTTCGCAGCGATTCCAGCCTGGGCTCCGCTGGAAGCCTCGCTGAATCCCAGCCAGCTGGTTCTAACCTTCCAGAATCGCAGTCCCTTCTCCCCACAGCCAGCCCTCGCCGAGCAAGCAGCAGGATGTTTGCAGTGTCGCGCCCAGGGCTCTGAGACAGAGCCTGCCATCCACTCGCACGCCTTTCTTTCAGGGCTTTTCGGCTGTTGGCTACACTGATGTGACCCCCCCTCCCTTTTTGGAATGATGGGGATCATTTTGGCGTATGTTGGATTTGTTTTCTTTTCCGTTTTATATGTACAACAAGGGCTTTCTTCTCAAGGTAAGTCTGTGCTCAATGGCAAATATACATTTGCTCGCGTGTGTGTGTGTGTTTCTTACACTCAAAAAGAATGGACAGGCAGATAGAATAAGCTTCCTAGCAAGTAACAGTGGGCTTAGGCTGTATAAATAGTGTTCTGTTTGACGATTTTCTTTAAAGTTTATTAAACTGTAGACAAGCTAGGCTGGAGAGAAAATCTAGCTGGTGCCTGACAATGAGGTGGGCTCCTCGGTGAGCACAAACACAGGGTCGATGTGGTGTGTGTGTGTGTGCGTGTGTGTGTGTGCTTTCTATCTGTGTGCATGCACAGGGTAGCCACTCATGCATACATAATCATCACAAACAAACACAGGGCTGGATATGGGGACTCTCCATTACCAGTCCCTCTTCCTTGGGTAGTCAGACTGAGCTTAGAGTTTCCCTTTTCTAGGTCCGTGTAACTCCTTTTGTATGTGTGTTTATCAAAGGACAGACTCCTCTGAGGACCCATAAAAAGCCACAACTTGCATGACAAGCAGCAGCAGCCTGCTGAACCCGATTGTTCAGGACTTCGTAGGCTGCAGTGGTCGTTTCAGCACCATGAACAGATCACATCTCTGCTGCCAAAAGACTGCATCACTTCTGCAAGCAGAAATGCCATACTCCTTCTGCCAGTTAGAATAGAAAAGTCCTTTTCCGATCAGAATGTCTCCTTAATAGCTTCCCTGTTTTAGGTATAAATACAGTTTCATATCACTAGAGATTATTTTTGGGATTTCATAAAATGTTAAAAAGAGACCATGTCTCTCTTTAAAACGGGGGTGAGGTGAGGGGGGGGAGGAGTGCATCCACCCTAAATCATTTCTGCAGTCCTCACAGCCCTCCTCTCCGTAAGTGTGCATTGTGGTTGTGCATTTCCATTGGCCATACAAATCTTTCCAAGACTACTTTTAGGGAACCATCAGCTCTTTGCAAAGTACCCCTTAGATAAGATAAAAACAACCATGTTGGTAACAAGATAAGAGCATTGTATGTTCAAGAAATGCCTTTAGGAGGAAGGAAACATATTTTTGTGAGTTTCACCATGGTTTCATGAATCATGCAAACTAGCAGTGTCAAGGCTGGTAATGAAAAGGCTGAGAAACATCTCCATAGTGACTTCTAAATAATATTTAATCTGAACTCAATCTAGATGTGTGATCATTACATCTTAGGATGTATGGCAGTTTGAAATACAGTGACTTGATGGGAACAAATAAAGGTTAATTTGGAGAGAAGGAAACATACACAGTTTATAAAGTGTGCAACTTGTTTCACTACTGCAGGCGTGTTTCACTGGTGTTGCTAATAACTGTTTTGCTGTATCAGGAATGTGCATTTTGACAGATAATCATGATCTACTCTGTTACATGAAACATCCAGTTAGTGGTAGATTGTTTAGAAACTTAGAGGCAAGAGACTCTCCTCATATATCAACTTGACAGATTGTCTAAATTGTATCTCACTAACTCTCTCAGTAAATTTTGCGGAATACTGCAATCTGACAAAAGGTATTTGGATCTACCTGCGGGCATCTTGGCTAACAGAGTTATTGGCAAGCTTGTTAACCTTTCCATTATCTGGATTTGATCAACAACATAGTGATTTAGGTATGATACCAAAAGTTAGACAGGAAAGAGGCAAAGGAAGGGGGCTGGGGGAACCAGACGAAGCCGGGGATGTAGGAGAGGGGTTTTGTTGTTATTTAAGTCCAGGAAAAATGCAGCGAGCTCTCAAGGAAAGAGACTCTGGCAGGAGGGGTGTGGATATTCCAAAAGGATGCCTTTCTGTTTTGCAGCAAAATTTACCGAGTTTCCGCGGAACGTGACGGCGACCGAGGGGCAGAATGTGGAGATGTCCTGCGCCTTCCAGAGCGGCTCCGCCTCGGTATATCTGGAGATCCAGTGGTGGTTCCTGCGGGGCCCGGAGGAAATGGAGCCCGGGGCCGAGGGGGCCGGCGCGCAGGTAGCGGAGCCCGCCGACCCCGCGTCTCCCCTTCGCTTGCCCGGTCCTCAGGGTGTCCGGCCCGGGACTGAGGGCCGAGGTGCTGCCTGGGCACCCCTGGGGAACCGCCCGGTTCTGTGGAAGCGAGTGACCCCCCAGGGCTTCCAGGGAGGGAGAGGGAATTTGTCCTGGGGACGCGAAGTTAAAACCCAGAAGGAAGTCCTGCTGCCCATTTTCTTCCTGTTAAACTGGGAAGCGCCTCCTCCTATAAGTTCTGGTTCTTAGGAAGATGCCCGCCTTGCCCCTGCCGCGCTGCCACTTCCCGGGACATCTGCAAGCCCCTTTCCAGGACGGAAGGAGGGGGAGGGGAAGCGGTGGGCGGCCTCCACCCCGCACCCCACCCCCTCTCCCTTCTCTGGGCACCAGGCACCACCTGGGACCCCAGTCCCCGGGCTGAACAACCAGAGAACCAGAGCGGCCAGCTCCTCTCACCTCCACCTCTAACAGATACGTGGGGTGTCGGGAAGAGAGGGAGAGAGAAGGAAAGGGGAAAATGGAGGAGGGAGAGAGGGAGAGAAGAAAGGGGGAGACCGGGAGAGGCACAGAGAAGGAGAAAGAGACGGAGAGAGGGAGGGGGAAAAGGGGGAGAGAGGGAAGGGAAAGAGAAGGGAGGGAGAAAGAAGGTGGAAGAGGAGAGAGGGAAGGGGAAGAGGGAGAGAGGGAGTGAGGAGAGGGAGAAAGAGAAGGGAAAGGGGAAGGAGGGAAGGGAGAATTGGAGTGGGGAGGAGAGAAGGAGAGGGTGAGAGGGAGAAAGAAAGGGGGGAGGGGGAAGGGGTGGGAAACAGGGAAGGGGAGATGGGAAGAGAGATTGAAGGGGAAAGAGAGAGGGAAGGGGAAAAGGGAGAGAGGGAAGGGAAAGAGAAAACGGGAAGGGGGAAAAAGGGAGAGAGGGAAGGAAAAGAGAGGAGAGGGAGAGAGAAAGGAGAAGAGAGGGAGAGAGGGTAGGGGAAAAGGAGGCAGGGGGCGAGAGGGAGAGAGAGAAGGGGAGGGGGAAGGAAGGGAGGGAGGATTGAAGTAGAAAGAAGAGAAAGAAAGGGGTAGAGGGAGAAAGAAGGGAGAGAGAGGGAGAGAGGTAAGAGAGGGGGAAGGGGTGGGAGAGGAGAGAGAATGAGAGGTGGAAGGGGAGAGGAAGAGACGGAGAAGGAGAGAGATGGGGGAGACAGGGCACAGAAGGGAGAGAGGGAGGGAGAGGGAAGGGAGAGAGGGAGGGAGAGGGAAGGGAAAGAGGGAGGGAGAGGGAAGGGAAAGAGGGAGGGAGAGGGAAGGGACAGAAGGAGGGAGAGGGAAGGGAGAGGGATGGAAAGGAAGAGAGGAAGAGAAGGGGAGAGAGAAGGAGTAGAGAAGGCAGAGAGAAGAGAGAAGGAGGAGAGTGGAGACGGGAAAGAAGAGGAGAGAAGAGAGGAAGCAGGAGAGAAGGGACTACGGGAGTGGGGAGCATGGAGGGGACGGAGGGTGACTTGGGAAGAGGCAGGAGAGAGGGTGGTGAGGTGGGAAAGCAGGGGGAGAAAGGAGGAGAAGAGGAAAAGGAAAATAGTGGGAAGAGGGGAGAAGGGAAGGGGGTCGGGGCGAGAAGGGAGACCTAGTTGAGCGAGAGGCGGAGCCCCTGCTAGCCAGCAAGAGAATCTGTGGCCAGGAGCCCGGGGCGGGACGGCGGGCGGGATGGCCCCCGGGGCAAAGGCGCGGAAATTCGTCCCGGGGCACTTCACCCTTACTCACCGCCCCACCGCCGGCCGCCCCACCCCCGGCGCCCGCGCCACCTCCGGGCCAGCGTCCGCACGGGTCAACCCGCGAAAAAGACCCGGCGGCTCCCGGCCCCGCCTCCCGAGCGCAGCGCCGGGACGGTTCCGGGGACAGCGCCGGGAGGGCGCAGGGGACAGCATGGGGACGGCGCGGGGACGGCGTGGGGGCGGTGCGGTCGGGGCCTGGACGGGGGTGGCCACGCCCCTAGTCGCTCCCTGTCCCCAGGTCACCCTGAGGGCCCTGCCTGGAGCGGCGAAGGCTGTGCTCGCGTGGGGGCGGGCGGTTGGGCGGGCCTGGCGTGGGACTGAGCGTTCGCTCCTTGCCCGCAGGTGGAGCTCTTGCCAGACAGAGACCCGGACAGCGACGGGACCAAGATTAGCGTGAGTTAGGGGGCGCGCCGGGGGCCGCGAGCCCAGGCCCGGGACGCACAGCCCTTCCCTGTCCCCGAGAAGGCGGCTTGCCAGCGCTGCAGGACAGCCCGGTGCCCCTTGCTTGCCTCACTAGATACATACAAATGGAAGCACGTTTAGAGTCCCTACAGAAAATTACATATTTTAGTCACGTAAATATCCAAACATTCTAGAGAATCGTTTGCTATCCAGAGAGGTTGTGTGACACTTTCTTTCATTGCTTTTTGTAACTTACCTAACAGTAAGAGTAAATACAATGCTAACATCTATTCAAATTATGGAAATAATTATATTTTAGTAGAAAGTAAAACACTAGCAGAGGAAAATATTTTTAGGGAGAAAAATATAAAGCATCCAACAGGATACTGAAATTGTGATTAAATTAAGCAACTAAATTTTGAATGTCACTTTAATGCATGGAATGTATTTCCAGTGCTGTTATTCAGAATCATATAAATATAATGCCAAAAGCCAATATAAATGTAAAACCGTTATTATAGGAGCTTGACCTATTGAAAATGTAAATTTACAGTTCTACTCTATTGCTTATTACTTTTAATAAGTGTGCGTAAAATTTAAAAAATGAAAGTCTTATTTTTTTACTCTACCTCAAATGAAGCCACATAGCATCAGTTAATATTAATAATACTGCTTCATTTGATAAATAGAAACGAAATAGTTATGTAATACAACAGGAGGAAATCTGTTAAGCATAAACATATCCTTATTATATGTTTTTAGAAATCTAAAATCCCAATGACCTACATTTTAAAAGAAAATATATTTTAAGGCTCTTACAATAGCATAAAGTGGTAGAAGATTGGAGTTACATCATAACTAAAAATGTACAAATATATTGTACATAGAATCTAATTCTGTGATCAAAATGTGTAATCTCAACATGGAAGAAAAAATGACAAAGATGAAATATCAACCATAAACTCTGATTTAAAACTCATAAAATTACTGACTTTTTAGGATACTTCAATTATTCTTATATCACAGAAACTGTTGTTTTCCTGCAATATTAGAAAAGCTGTATAGGTGAAATCTAGTTTTTTCTTAATTATTTTATTTTTCACATACATCTATAACTAGATAGATTGCTTGGTGCCTATTCTTCCTTCAGCCTTCACCCGTCCCCCTATCATCTAAAGGCCAGTAACAAAAATAGTCTCATACATCCTGACCTCTGATGCATACAATGAGAAACATGATTACACACACAACTGTTGATGGTATTTCCTGTGCCAATAGTGCATAAAAGTTAATGAGTGGAAGAGAGTTTTAGACACAAACTAAAGCAGAAAGTAGTTTATTCTCTGTTTACCCACTGTGTGACCTTGAACATATGTTCTCAACCAACAGTTATTAACTTTGAATTCCCAGGAGAGTTGTTATAAAATACTGATATAAGCTCCACCCTCTAGAGATGCAGACTTAATATTTCTGTATTACTCCACATGACAGTATTTTTAACAGCACCCTAGGTGATTCTAATGTACACTCAGTGTTGAAAATCACTGACCCAAACACCCCAAGCCTCAGTTTACTCAACTATAAAATGGGATAATAATATAAATACTCTAGCTACTTCAAACTTTATTAGGAGATTTAACCCAGAATAAACGTGGAAGTATTCATTTCCATTTTTATAGTATTAGTGTATTTATATGTAATTTTATATACACTTAAACCCATAGGGTTCAATTGTTGGAAATTATTTGTATATATACCCCTATATGTAAAAACAGATGAGTGCTTCTCAGGTTTTTCTAATAATTTATGGCTGTTTGAAAGTGTAGTGTAGTGGCCATTAGCAGAAAAAATAACTTTCGGCCTCCTTCATTTCTTTTCTGTATCTTTCAAAATCAACCAAATTCTTGAATCCCAAACGTCTTATGAAACCTATAATTGTCTCAGTTATGAAGAACACGTGATTATGTATTAAACCTAATTGTTCTGATAAAGATGCTTATATATACAATATATGACATATAATAGAAAATCATATATTATATCTAGTATATCTATCAGATATCTGATCTTGCTATTAGTCTGGAATAAAACTTATTAGAAGAAATAAGAAAGCCAATTTCAATTTTGAAAATCAAGCCAATGTTTTATCGATGGCATCCCAAGTCCCTGTAGCATAAAGTCCCTATAATGGCATGGGATACATACTTTGAGCAACAAGACTTCCGGTGATAGGAAGCTGTACCCCCAAGTCATGCCACCCCATGACTAGAGGCAAGACTGCATATAAAATTTAAGAAGAAAAAATAGTAGTATTCAAGTTCGTTAACAGCACCTTTAGTAGTCATCCCAGTGTGGGGATACAAGTGCTTTCTCACTCAAACCCATGACCAACAAAATATTTTTGTGATGTCTCAGAGTTGAGGGGGTTAGTTTATAGCCCACAGGGAAGGAAAGAGGTTGTTTCACCTATAGAGTTGGCCTTATTGGTTTGTGCTTCATTGAACTGAGTTAAGCAGGCAGAGGCCAATCCCATGATGGAAAAATGACAGAGCTGCTACTGGCCTGTGGACAATGGGGGGCATATGGCTGACAGAATCTGGCACTGGCTGCATTGAACTAATTATCCCCTGAGTCTGCAAGTGCAGTGGTTGGTGGAATAGGATAACCAAGGCCTTCAGATGTGATGTTAAGGAAATAAAAAGCTCCTTCACTATGGCTATGGGCCCATTAAGACCCTTTAGCTTTCCAATGTTAGCAAGCTCAGGGGAAAAAAATGGGAACAAAATCATTTGATGTAGCACTTTATTTTTTTTTTACCTGCAATCTTTCAGACAGTGAAAGTCCAAGGCAATGATATCTCCCACAAGCTTCAGATTTCCAAAGTGAGGAAAAAGGATGAAGGCTTATACGAGTGCAGGGTGACTGATGCCAACTACGGGGAGCTTCAGGAACACAAGGCCCAGGCCTATCTGAAAGTCAATGCCAACAGCCATGCCCGCAGAATGCAGGCCTTCGAAGCCTCTCCCATGTGGCTGCAGGATATGAAGCCCCGCAAGAACGCCTCTGCAGCCGTCCCCAGCAGCATCCATGGCTCTGCCAACCAACGAACGCACTCCACCTCCAGCCCTCAAGCGGTAGCCAAAATGCCCAAACAAAGTCCACAATCAGGTATGGAAACCCATTTCGAGCCTTTTATTTTACCACTCACGAACCCTCCACAGAAAGGTCAGTCGTATAGAGTAGACACATTTGTGAATGATGGTTTTTAAAATCGGAGACCTAGTTCAGTGCAAGTGATTATGAGAGGTGACTGCTGAGCCTGCACCGATTCACTCAGAGCTCAAAGCATGTGGGTGCGCCCCGTGAGTCCCCTAGTGGTGCTGCATTTCCAGAGCATCTGAGAGCTGGACTCTGGTTTTTTTCCTTTCTGTATTTACACATTATAAGAACAATAAATCATGTAATGTTGGTTACATTACAAATGCATGTTCATTTTCTCTACAGATTTATGTATCGATAATGACCCAAATTAAGAGGCTTTCACTTAATCAAAATGTAAATGAGAGAGACATGCCATATCATGCATTTTCAGCGACCCATAGCTCTAAGCAGGACTATTCTCCAAGGGCTTTTGATTTTGAAGGAGAAACCTCAGCTGCGTGTGATGATGATAATGGAAGGACAGAGAGGGGATTGAAGACAGTAAGTGGTGCAGAGATAAGGCAACTCCTGTGAATGTGCCTTCCAGGCCAATTTAGAAGCTTAGTCACAGGATTCTGAAGGCAGCTGTGCAAGTTAAAGCTGTTCTGAATGGCATTAATGTATGCAGTCATTCAGCCAATGGAAATGCATAGAAGTTTTAACCTTGATGTGGGATAAAGGCTCCATGGAATGAGCGGAACCCTGCACAACCCCGCGGCCATCACGATTTCCTCAAACACATGACATGGGATGAAGGGAGCACAAACATACCGACTTCATCCTTCTTTAGGTTTTTCCCTTTATATTTTATCACTGAAGAAGTATTGATGCTACCATCAGTAATGGAAAATTACATTGCTAATATTATTTAAGATCTCTTCAGCCATTAAATTAAAAAGTCTGATTACTTCACCAGGATGATTTCTGAGATCTCATCTCATATCATCCTGAATACGCGCACACACACACACACACACACACACATCTCAGAAATCATCCTAATCAAATATAGACTTTAATATGTATATCAAATATATATATACATGTAGAAATACATATAGGTTTGTATCTTTAAGTCCTTGCTTGTGAACAATGCTTTTAAATGTTTTTAAAATACTGTATGCCAAAATAGGTTTTCTGTTAATGCTTTACTTCCTAATGGATGTGATTTGCACATTTGTAGGGCACTTGGATTAGGGTTCTCTGAGTTTGCCCTGCCTTATAATGTAGATGAGCAACTCTCCTGGCATGCCTTGGTCATTGCAATTTATGTCAGTCTGATGAATAGATGGCTTAGCCTCTCTGAAGCCCAGTGTGTGTGGATTTGTCTAATTTTTTTTTCTTTATCATCTTTTCTGTTTCCCAAATTAAAGGACAAACTAATATAGCTGGAACATATGTGTGTGTATCCATACACACAAAACACACAGGTATATGCTAAATTATAATGGTAACCAAATGATGGTTACAACTTTGTGACTATTATTTCAGGAAGATTTCTTCACATTATCAGAAAAGAAGTTAGACACTACAGGCAAGATTACAGAGTAGACTAAGCAGACAGTTTACAACCTAATTAGCAAGAACTCCAGTCATGGAAGTGAAATTATTAATATTATCCTACATAGACTGTTCCAAGTTAGATGTCATCAATCTGTTCGGCAGAATAAAATCAAACAGCTTATCTATTCCAAGTGAAGAATTTGGAATAGAGGGGTAGAGTGAAATGCTTTATCTATTTCTAGAATATTTTCTTAGCTTTTGGGGTTTAATAATGCAATCTAAAAATATCTATTTCTTTTATTTTAATATCTCTTAGCGCTGTGATTAGTGCTAAATGATAAACTCCAGATCTCTTCTAACAATTTTCAAATGAAAATTACTGCTCTTTTTTCATTCCATTGCCAGCCTTGCTGTTAGATACAAAATTGCTTTTTCTAGAGTTAAAGATAGAAGGAGAGAAACAAATGACTCATGAAGTTTATATTCATTAAAAGTCCTGTTCACTAAAAGTATCTGCTTGTATCAAAGAGTAACCTGAAATACCTCAAAATATTTAATTTCAATATTTCCAACCAGTGAATACTGGATCATATTTTTATATACTTCTATCGACATTTTCTAATTTCTATTTCAGAAGCTGGGGCAGTCCAGCCACTGACTTATGTGTAAGTTCCTATACTTGCACAATTATTATATATAATTCAGTATCGGGGTGGATATTTATGTATTATATTCACTGTAATACCCACATCCTGATTTATGATTTTTGCCTTAAAATTTTCAGATTATATTCAAATAAAGCTTATTTCAATACCCATGTTTCATTTATTCATTCATTTATTCACCTTCCATCCCACCCAGGAACTCACATACCAAGCATAGGGACGCAAACAAGGAAGACACACTTCTTCTCCTCAAGGAGTTTGTATTTTAGTTTGCAAGAAAATAAAATATTTGTACATTCCATTTATCATGCATCTTTATTTCATTATTCTGTGAAAGGCAAGATGTGGTGAAGGCACAAAAATCAAAATCTTACTTTTGGAAGTCAATAGCTATATTGTACTAGCCTTTTATCTTTTATTGTTTGACGCAAAGAGGCGTCCTTCATCTATGGTATATGGGACACTGTCATATCAACCTCTGTCACAAAAAGCTGGCCTGTTTGGCCCTTTATTTTCATCATAATCTTTGACTTAGTTGACTAAATTATTTAAACTGAAGCACTCACCTCTTAATTGATACTATTTTTCTGTCGAATTTCTGTTTTATGAAGGAAAACGTATTAGCTGAAAATAGTTTTATATAAAATCTTCAAATTTTCATACAATTAATTTAACCAGTTTTTCTAGAGCAGAGATTTACATGAATAGAGGAAGATGGAAAAGATAGTCTATGACCATCTACCTATCACAAGATAAAGCTAACTATTATTTAAGGTATTTTCCAACAGTTTTTGAGCATGTGACTTTCCCCTCCCACTTAAAATCGTTTCTTTTTTATCTTTGTGAATCCTTTACTTGTAAAATTATTTGAATTCTACCTCCATTTTGTGATCAACAATTAAAACAAAATATTGAAGCAAAACAGTTAGGCAAACAGATAAACAAAACTTGGCTGTTGCAATCCCTTTAAAGTTTGCCGTCTTCAATTGTTCTGAACACTCTCCGGTTTTGTGTACCATGACCGGCTTAGATCATATCAAACCTATTCCCCTCTGCCCACTTTTTTTGGCTCTATTTGCAAGAAGCTTATCAAGAGAGGATGCCAATAAATATGATGTTATCAGGAAAGCAATACATAAAGTTAGAAGCAGAAGAAATGTTCTATAGATGTTCTGAGAAGGTGAATTCTTGCTTCTTGCTGGAGGAGTCAGGGAGGGCAACCTGGATGAAGGGGCTTGGAGGATAGGGAGAGCTCACACAAGCAAATACGGTGAAGAAAGACCTTTCGGAGAGGAGGGTGGCACCAAGCATAACTGACTGTGGAAGTCCCAGGATCTTGACCAGGATGGGGTGGTTTAGGTCCCTCTTTGCAGAGAACACAGGACTCAATGCCACTCCACTGTGCCCCCAAATACCCCAGTATACTAAGCCATTCTCTACTTGTTTCTTCCTGTCTCTTCCAGTGTCTCCAATCCTTCCAGAAGTCAAACATCTCCTCCACAGACCACCTCTACCAGTCCTTCCTTTCTTCTCTCTGTCTTCATTTTTTTCTACTGACCCCTCCCCACCTTCCCAAGGTCACACAGAACTGTGAAGCAGCTTCCTGCTCTTCCTCCCCAACCTGGCCGTGGATCAACCCCTGCTGTGCAGAGCTGCATGCTGGCTCCTCCAGGTCAATTGCCCAGGTCACTTGCACTCCCAATGCTGTCATGCAAGTCACTGGTGTCTCCTGCTTCCAATTCCCTGCCCTCTCACATCTCATCCTTCCCAGTCTCTAGGTGACCTTTCTCCCTTGATCGCTCTTTCCTGACACTCTTACCTCTCTTCTCTTTGCTGGCTGGTCCCCTATTTACTGGCTCCTAGCATTGCCCTCTCTCCTTTATTGGCCTCCCCCACTAAATTCCTCTCTTAAATATAGTTCTTTTCCCATTGTCAACTCCCTGATCTTCTCATCCACTTCCATGGTTTTGACTGCTAAATTTTCTTAGAAAATTGTTCCATTCACCTTTGTACTTCTGACTCATTTCTGTAGATCCAGACTCATATTCACTCTTGTCCCCAGAGCATCTACATATATGTCCTGCAAGAACTGTGGCAGAGTAAGAATGTCTACACACTTGTCTCCATCCCACCCAATGAAGCCTATTTTCCTTCCCCTGAGCGTTGGCTGGCCTGTGACCACTCTGCCCAATAAAGTAGGAAGAAGTGAGCTGTGCCAATTATAAACCTATCCTTTACAGGGGCAGGCAGCACCTGCTGAGCCCTCCTGGAGGCCAGCCACTGTGGAGGCAGTGCAGCCACCTTACTGACTGAAGCTCAGCCATGGCCCTTGGTGTGCGAGCCTGGAAGCAGCCTTGGGTATCCAGCCACTCCAGCCTTCCTCCAGTCACAGCTCCAGTGGCTGTCTCATTGCAGCATGAGGGAGCCCAAGTGAGCACTGCCCAGCTAAGCACAGACAACACGCAGAACAGAGACAGATGATGATCTCCTGTCACTTTAAGGCACTAGGTTGTAGTGAGGTTTGTTTCGTAGTAGATGTTCAGATAAGACATCTAAAACTCAAATATTCAAAACTGAATTTATCTTAGCTTTCTCACCAAAAAGAAATGTTCTTCCTCCTATGATCGCAAACTGTTTTAATAGCATTCATCACAGTCCTTGGTCTTGAGGAAGCCTTGAAAATGTTCTCATCTCTTCTGTCAGCTGACACACTGAATTGTCCTAGTAATTGTCTCCCTAAAACATCCCTGAGAAACTGCATCTTTTCTGTTCTAACCAATACTGGTTTATTGTCAACAC